CTATTGTCAACCCTACAGTTAAAAATCCCGTTGCTACTAATAATGTATAAATCGCACGGTGTACTTTTACTTTTTTTGTTTGTGTCCCAGCGACGGGAAATCGGTTACGATTGCTAAACCGGCATACATTATGCCGCATGTGGGTGACGACAAAAATTTGCCACCGTCGTCATTCGAGTGACGTGAAAAATGGAAATCACAAATCAAGCCACGACACATACCTTGGTAGCTCTCGAATGACGATACAAACGCAATTAACACGTCATCTGATAAGCAGACTATAACTACCCCATCTTTGATGAGGCAAATGCAAAACGCACGTCACTCGAATAACGAGGCAAATGTAAACCGATCGTCACTCGCATGACGAGGCAAATGTAAATCGCTCGTCATAGATGGGATAGTTATAGTCCGAAATAAGTGGTATATTTGGAGTCTATTAATAGACTCCAAATATACCACTAAGGTTAAGATAGACTTCCCCTCTTGTTCTTATACTTAATGCAATTGCATCTTCTGGTTCAACATCCAAAGCTTTATTGAGATTTCTTAGTGCACGATTATGCTTATTAATCATGCAGTAGGTCTCTGCTATTAATCTCAATGTTAATGTATTATTTGGTTCATAATGCAAAGATTTCCCAAAGCATTTTCATATAACTAAATCACCACGTGACCCATTATTATTATCGCTCTACAAAATGTGATCGCGATGTCATAGGTAAGGTAATTTTTCTGCCGTGTCAAGTTTGAACTGACCCCTATAATGGCAACGAGAGGACCGCCAAAGCGCAAAAAAAAGGCCGATACCGACGATAATGCTTCAGACTTATCCGAGAATTTCGGAAACATTATAGCCCAACTGAAATCAATAGATGATGAACCATGTGGACCACCGTTGAGTTTACCTGCTAATGTCACTCCAGAACAACTCCAATTGCTAGTGAATCAGCTTTTAAATAATGTATGGGATGTTACTTTATAGCGAATTCTCATGCTTGAAAATATATATTAATTCTGAATTGCATTTTAGGAAGAATCTTTGCCATATGCGTTCTCAGTGGATGAGACGGAAATCATCACATCTCTTCACAAGGACATTGTTGTCGGTTTAAACAAATCTACGGAAGATGTACTGACAATAGTCTATAGACCCCAAGCGATATTTAGAGTAAGGGCAGTTACAAGATGCACATCAACGCTGGCTGGTAGTTATTCGACAATATTGAAGACTGTTTTTTACGCAAAAAAAATTTTTTCCTGTCCAGAAGGACTTATTTATTACGTACATTTTTATGGTATGAAATAGGACACACAGAGGCAATTCTATCTGTTTCGTTTAGCCCCGATGGCACACAACTTGCAACCGGTTCAGGTACATTTTCTGTCAAGCAACGTATATAATATCACTAGATCGCAACAAGTAAAACTCTGCATACGTCCTTGCATTTCTTGAACGATTTTCTTATTTCTGTCACACAGAGGTAAGGGAAGTGCAAGGAGTATTTACGTTGATATGTATAGAAACTAATTACTACTTTTATTCAGGAGATACAACTGTACGAATATGGGATCTAAACACTGAAACGCCGCAGTTTACATTATCCGGTCATAAGAATTGGGTTTTATGCATTGCATGGTCACCAGATGGCAAAGTTCTCGCATCTGGTAGTATGGATAAGACTGTTAGTACTATACAAGTTATCATGAATGCCTCTAAAAAGCTCAAACATGAACTATAAGCATTTTTGTTTAGGTTCGTCTTTGGGATCCGTCTACAGGAGCAGCGCTAGGAGATTCACTGTTTGGGCATACTAAATGGATTACTTGTCTCGTGTGGGAACCAATTCACTTGTAATTATTTTACTTCTATTGTCTTTCCTCATTCCTATCGATTTATTGTGAAATGCATGAACTTGACTGTTTAAAATTTTATCTCAGGAATCCAAGTTGTGCTCGTTTAGCGTCATCCTCAAAAGATGGCACGATTCGTATATGGAATACCAAGTTGAGAAGAACAATACTGTCAATGTCACAGCATACTGCCGCGGTGACGTGTATTAAATGGGGCGGAGATGGACTATTGTATTCGTCAAGTCAGGATAAGACAATCAAAGTCTGGGATACTAAAGAGGTAAAATCGTTGGAGGTGTTTTAGCATTATTATCGGCATATAGGATAAACAGAGATTGCTCGATTAGGGGAAACTTGTGAGGACTTTGGAGGGTCATGGACATTGGGTAAACACTATGGCACTTAGTACAGATTTCGTACTAAGAACAGGCGCCTATGACCATACTAATAGAGTACCCAAAGATGAACAAGAAGGTAACGATTGAGGATTGTCTTGGTTGAACTATTTCCAACACAGTTTTGGCAAACGACAGCTCTTGTTCTTTTTATCGTTTTGCATGTTCCCAACTCCTTATGATTGCTAGCTCAGGAATGGGCTTTGAAACGATACCAAGAAGCCAAAGGCACAAAGCCCGAGCGATTAGTATCTGGCTCTGATGATTTCACCATGTTTTTTTGGGAGCCATCGACCAGTAAGAAACCTATCGCACGGCTTACCGGACATCAAAAACTTGTTAATCACGTCAGTTTTTCACCGGATGGGCGACTAATTGCCAGTGCAGGTTTCGATAATTCTGTCAAATTATGGGATGGATATTCTGGAAAGTAAGTTTTCATGTTAACACTGTTTTTGAGACGGGCTTGTTCTGACATGTCACGGATTTGGGTGGGGGGAGCATAGATTTATAACTTCATTACGGGGTCATGTTGGTCCTGTGTATCAAGTTTGTTGGTCGTCAGACAGTAGAATGCTCATAAGTGCAAGCAAAGATAGCACATTGAAAATCTGGGATGTAAGAACAAGGAAAATGAAGTTTGAATTACCTGGACATTTGGATGAGGTATTTGTTGCCTGAAAGTTCCGTTAGATTCTCGTGCAGTACTAAGTACTTCAAGTACACCTTTTGTAGGTGTTTAGTGTTGATTGGAGTCCAAGTGGCGATAAGGTTGCAAGTGGTGGGAAAGATAGGCAATTAAAATTGTAAGTAGAGGCGTTTTGTCATAAGCCGATTATTAAAAAGACTTGTAATTGACGGTCATATATCTTATACCATGTAGATGGCGCAATTGAACGTAACATCTCTATTTTTAAAGCTTGCTTGCACTATAAATAAATTTTGATCAGTGAATGTATCAGCAATCTTGAGAGGACTTCCATCAGTAGTATATTTCGGAAGCATTGAAGCGTTTTCTGCTTACAAAGCGCCATATCTTTTGCCATTGGTCTTTCTTGCTTTGGAGCCTTGGGTCAAGTTACAAAACAATAGTAAACAAAATATCTTTTTTTTTTTAGAATTAATATTGTATATTACGTAGGGTGTCTGAAAAGTTTTGACAATATATTTTTATCTCAATGATCTGTGCATCTATTAAAATAAAGTGAAA